CATAATTAGCCTGACTAATTTTATGTTTTGTCAGTTGTCTTCCCATTAAAAAGCACTTGTCATTAATCATGACTGTTTAATGGAATTTCATTATGAGTGCTTGAGTTACTAAATAAAATTCCATTCACATGAGGTAATTCAGTAACACTAGCAAATCAGTGGCAATCCTTTATATACCCCAGTTGTAATGAAAAAGTGATTCTGAGCGGATGTCACTCTGAAATTCTGCAACTAATATTTGGAAATAAAGAACAGTTAAATTAAATATCTATTGCAATAATCATTTGGTAGCAAATTTAAGTTGCCTTTCAAATCTTCTGCATTGTCCTCAAACAGTTTGGTACTTGTAATTCTTTCGTTATTCAGGCTCAGCAATACAGTAAGGAGCCTGTTCTTATTGCCAAGTAGTGTGTGAAAGGGAATTTAGGAATTGGTAATGTGACAGTGTTAAACAGCTTTACTTTCACGAGTATCTGGAAGCAACTATGTAGATTGTATATAGCAATTATTTTGTTTTAACACAATAATAAATACAGCTGCCTTGTGTAAATACTAATTGTCTAAACATTACAACTTATATTATGATTGGATTATTTGTGCTATTTGTCCAAATAAAGTAATAGTTTTGCTGGAACTGTAGTTACAATAGTTAGAAGGAGATTTTTTGTGTAAAAATTATGTGGTATTTGAGACAGCTAAAACATGGCAATGTCTTCAGTGAGCTTCATTTATATAGCAAAGATTTCCAATTTCATTGCCTTTGTCAGGAAAATTTTAAAAACATGAAAAAAATCAGTTATCTCCAAAAAGGTGTCTTCTCACTCCATCACACGGTGGCATACCTTTCAGTAGCTCATTTATGCTCTGTACAGTGATCCTTCTCTTTTAGGAGGCTCAGCAGTATTCAAATGTTTAGGCATGTACTATTGTTACTACACAGATAGGCAAGCCCACATGCAACCAAAGTATTAGCAGGGCTGGTTTCAGTCTTGCTGGGGGAAAAAGCATGAACAATTAGTGGAACACATCAAATTAGTTAAAAATGAACTCTGCTCTGTTGTTAACCATATAAATTACTTATATATATATTAAACATTAAAATATATTAAGGGCGGGGCTTTCTGAGTCTAAAAAAATACTCAAAAACACTAGCATTGTAGCCATTAAAAAGCTAGATGAATAATCAAATGTACTTCACCACACTCATATATTTCACTGTTTTCTTGGTTTCCCCCCAGTCTGAAAACTGAAAGACAAAACAGACAGGAATTAGTGAAATGCCACAGAACCCACAGTAACCCTGGGTACATGAAATAACTTCCATTCCATTAATTTGTGGAGCAACAAATTACACCTTTCTTTATGAACAAGTCGTCTATATCTCAGCATCAGCACTGGAGTAGCTGAGTAACAGAAACATTTATTTGATAAGAAAATTAGACCTTCACAATGGATATAACTTTTAATATATTATTTGACCAGTTGAAATTCCTGTGCACATAAATCAATCATGTTAAACCTAATCCTTGGTCCAGCAAGAGGTAGTTAGCCGTGTTAGTCTAGAACAGGAAGAAGGCAGGGTAGATTTGCACCTTTATAGACGGACTAGATAGGAGATGTATAGCATAATTCTTCAACCAGGGTGCCCTCGCAGTCAAGAATGATAGTCTTCCAGGATTATCTTATCTCTGGGTCCAAAGGTGGCTGACGAGATCAGTCCCAGATCGACAGGTTCTGTGGCAACTCAGGCAAGTGTTTCTATACAGGGTGACTGGCTCTGGATTCCTGATTTGGTCTGCAACACGCTGTTTCTGTCACCCCTGCTTTTCCATGTTCTATTGTCGCTGTGACGTTTCAAAGTACAGAGATCTTTACAGCAAACTCTTCCTCTATTTGGGGCAATCCTGGGCGATAGCCTCCCACAAGTTGATGTCGATGTTGCATTTTTTCAAGTTGGCCTTGAGGACATCCTTGAAGCACTTTCTCTGCCCTCTTGAGCATACGCCTTTACTGAGCTGGGAGAATAAAACTTGCTTCAGGAGTCTGGAGTCAGACATCCGGATGATGTGGCCAGCCTAGCGAAGTTGATGCCAAATGATCATTGCCTTGATGCTCATGGTATTTGCTTGTGAGAGGACACTAATGTTGGTGCATTTTTGTTTCCACTGGATTTGAAGGATCTTCCGTAGGCAGCGTTGATGGTACTTCTCCAGCACCTTGAGGTGTCTCCTGTACATTGTCCACGTCTCAGCTCCATAAAGTAAGGTAGGGATCACAACTGCTTGATAAAAAACCAGGAGATTGGTTTTGAATCTGATGTCACGATCTTTGAACACCCATTTCCTCAGGCATCCAAAGGCTGCACCTGCACATTTGAGGTGATATTTGATTTCTTCGTTGATGTCAGCCTTCTACGAGAGAGAACTGCTGAGGTACAGGAAATACTGAACATTCTCCAGAGAATCACCATAAATCTAAATGACCAGAACTGGGCACTGCTCATTAGGAGCTTATTGGTGGATGATCTGAGTCTTCTGAATGTTAGGCGTCAGTCCCATTTTCTTGTATGCCTCGGTAAAGATGTTGATGATTGCCTGAAGGTCTGCTTCCTAGTGAGCACGCAGTGTACTGGAGCTTGATGATTGAGGTCAGGGCAGTCTTGGTTTTGGCTTGGAGTTGACTGAGATTAAACAATTTACTATCCATTTGGTAGTTTAGCTCCACTCTGACTGGAAGTTTGTTGGTGGTCAGGTGTAGCATCACGGTAAGGAATATCAAGAAGAGTGTTGGAGTGATGATGCAGCCTCGCTTAACTCCTTTCTTAACCTCAAAGGAATCTGTGATAGATCCATTACTGAAAACCACCACTTGCATACCGTCATGGAGCAGGCAAAGAGTGGTGAAAAATTTCGATGGGCATCCATACCTCAGAAGGATCCTCTGCAGTGATTCTCAGTTGACAGCCGAAAGCTTTTGTGAGGCCAGAGAAGACCATGTAGAGAGGTTTATGTTGTTCCCACCATTCTTCCTGTATCTGCACATAATGTTAATTATGTTAGGTGTGCAAACATGATTTACAAGGTAAATCCAGAGATTTCAAAGAAAAATCCATGGTATTAAAATAATTTTGATCTGTTGTGGTCTTTCTGAGCTCTTTGCAACAGAAGAATTTCTCTGTTGTTTTTCTGTAGTCAAAAAACAAGTGAAAACTAGGAGCTGGCATTTTCCAAGGGGTGCCTGGAGTCAAGTGAAGAGTGCCTGAATCCTATCAAGTGGTGCCTTGAGTCTAGAAAGATTAAGTACCACTGTCATAAGCTTTTCTAAATAGAAGACTTATACTTCATTAGATGCTGTGAAAGAACTGCAGGAATCGGTATGGGGGAATAAACATTAAAGTTATTACCATCATGCGTTGTAAAGCTACAATTAGTCAGGGTGGGACTGTTTGGATGCACAGGCTGCTTGCCAGCATTTAAAGCAAAACAAAAAAAATGTGCTTTATCAGAAGCAGCACGTTACTTTGACCTGGCTCTGCAGCATCTGTCTAGATCAGGCACTGCAGCAGGGCTTTTTGACGCATTTAGCTAAAGCTGATTCAATCAGCTATTTGATAAAAGTGCCAAAAAGCCCCACTAAAGCCTCCAATTTATACAGGGGTATAGAAAATTTACAAAATACCTTTCACAGATGAGCCTATGAACTTCACTTCATGAATCTACTGGATACAAAAAATCATGGACTAAATATAGACATTGGATTTATGACACAGTATAAACTGCCTAACATATGACTCCCCAAGTAACCTCTCCACTTTTTACCAGCTATTCTCATTCCCTTCCCCCAACTCTCCTGTCTCTCATGCTCTGACTACAGCTACATTCATGTCCCCTTTCCTTCCCCCCCTCCACCTCTCACCTAGTGACCACCTCAATTTACATTTTAACTGACTGGCTTTCTTGCATATGTACTGGCCTCTGGCTGCTTTACCACTCCCTCCAGGAAGAGCACAGACCATCTGCAGAAGCTTCCTCAGCCTGACAAAGGGTGTTTGTACCCAAAAGCTTCCGAAGAAGAATTTTTCCAACTTTTTGAGGTCTAATAAAAGATACTGGATTTACCCAGATTTATCTATACAGACACTGCAGAGCCAGGTCCAACTAAGGCACTGCCTCTTCCAGGCATGTGCTGAGCTCTGGCACAGGCATATTCCAAGTTTAAAGTGCCATTTGTTTTTGTTTGTTAACATCTGCAAGCAACCATAGTGACCAGAACTAATTTGAAGCTGTTCTGTTAGAGCAAAACTTTGCAACTTTCAGCTGAATCCAAATGAATAATTATAATCTACAGGTAGAACCTAAAGGGTCTTTAGCAGGCCTCTAGCCTGACTTCTTTCACAGCACAGGCCAGGATTTTCAATGAGCTATTTCTGCATGAAGTTCATAAATTCTGATTAAGTTAAAGCTCATCTTTTAAGACAGTGGTGATGGAATAATAGAGAGTCTTTTACAGCTTTTGATAAACTGTTTCAGTGTTAAATATGCATGCCTTATTTCCAGTTTGGATTTGTCTTGATGTAGACATCCCTTGTATTTTCTGTCCTTATCCCTCCTCTCCCAGGTTGTCTTGCATTTTACTGTATACATTCCTTTTTGAAGAAAACTATCAGTGATAAAAAGATACTGCAATACAGTCCAGGTCCTCCTGTCTTGCCCTCTGTTTAAGGGAGCTGCTCTAGCATAACCCCTTGCCAGTCGTGTAAGTTCTTCAAGTCTGATCAGGAGTGTGTCGCTGTTGGAGGGGCCAGGGGACAAGCATCATTATGCTGTGTTCTTTCCTCCTTCACACTACTTGCCTACTGTATATAGATCCTTTCTCCTTCAGTTTCTTCACCTATGGCACTGGGATAAAGCCTGTCTCCCAAAGGTGTTAAATCACTGTAGTTTTGTTTGGGACCATCTTGGAAGGCACTTAACATGGTACATGTTGTTTTATCCTGGCAGAGATGGAATCCCACCATATAGACTCCGGAAGCAGCATCGCAGAGAGATGCAAGAAAGTGCCAAAGCAAATGGACGTGTGCCACTACCTCACATTCCTGTAAGTAGCAGTATCCTGATTATTAGGAGATTGTTATTTCAGAGCCTGAAAGACTGCATAGGCATAGTTTTTCAGCTAACCCAGACATCCATTTGATTTTTCTGTAATATTGGAGTCAGAGAAGTGCATTTTAATATAGTTGTCTACCAACTAGTTAATAGGCATATTTTTGGTAGCCTAAAACGTTTCAGAACCCTCCACACTTGATATTAAAATATATATCCCTTAAAAGGCAGTTGCTTAATAACTGTCTGTACATGGAGGTTTGTAAAAGTATCACACTGTCAAGTGTACTAGACAGCAAGGCTAACTGGAATTGTAAACTGCCATATGGTCATGGTAGGCAGCTAAAAGTAATTGTATAGGAAGTAGGCTAGCAGGTATTTCTGTATGGCATGAGACGCTATCTAGCATAAAGGAAAGCTGCTAAGGGTAATGAAGGGGACTTTTGTCCAGCACTGATCAGGGACTAAAACTGCTGAAAATTTAAGGGAATATACAGATGTCACTTTCCCAAATGGTATTTCTGCCTCATGCAGATGGGGACTATAAAATACTATAAAATAAATACCTCATTCATTCTGATGAGGACTATAAAATACATGATTGGGGATGGGCCCCTTTCTTTTTGTTCATAGCTCTTCCCAGTTTCATCAGGGTAAGCAAACTGATATAGGAAGTTTATCATAACCCTTCAGCTTCTGTATTAGCATCTATATGTTTACTGTTTAGTAGAGAGTTAAGAAGTTTGTTCCTTGGACGGCTATCCTCTAACAATTCAAATCAGAAAAATGCCTGTTTGCCTCTTACAGAAATGGCGTCACTCAGCACAGATGCTCTCATCCTGTCTACTCAGAAGCAGGGCAACACAAACAAAATCTAGCATTGTTTTAATTTATTTTTTAAATCTTTGTTTTGCATTTTAAATTAGATTATTTTCCTTAAGATGTAAGAGGGCTCCTGTGCTTTGATCATTGGGCTGAAAATAAAAGCCCTGGTATTGGATGCTCAATAGCCATCGTTGCTCAGCCTCTCCTCCTTTCACATAGTTGCTTTCACAGTGTGGTTGCTGTCCAAAAGACTGGCTGGGTGCCTTTTTATTCCCCTTGATGTGGTTTTTACTGTAAGAATTGCTTTGTTAGGGTTGAAATTTGAAGGCTTGGCCTTTTATTTTATTGCTGAACAGTGGGAAACTCTGAGTGAATATTCTTCGACTTCAAAGCTTGTCAGCAGCTTTACCTTTTGGATAAAAATAATAGTGACTTCCTATTGATCACGTGCATTGGCAATGCTTCAATGAACTTCAGGTTATAAGCTGTGTATGGAGCATAAAATATGTATAGTGAGCTGCTTTAACGAACTTCCAACTGCCAGATATTTCTTTTGTTGAGACGAATAAGTGTCATTCTAGGAGTGGTTACTTGCCAGCTAATTAGCTTTACTTAGCATGAAATTTTATTGACTTTTTTTGAAAAACAGTAAAAAAGCCGCCAAAGTTTAAATTGGCTACCTGCTGCTTATAAGTGTTTATATTATCCTGCTTATCTGCATGGTCTTTGAGAATTACATGCTGTTTCTGGATTTCACACAGATACTTCACAAAGATTTCTCAGTGAAAGATACAGTGTTCCCATTAGTTTTTGTGCTGTAATTTTAAGTCCCAGAGAAGAAGGTATATCATTTCATATTTATATTGCAGAGGAGAAATGTGGAGGCAAGTTAGTACTAGTCTCTCTCCAGGGAATCAGAGTTTAGTTCAGACACTCCGGAAACTCCTGCCAGCCAATTACTGACAGAATTGGCATAGACTTCAGAGTCACTGCTTTGCCCACACTTATCAATCAGCTATAAAAAGAAAAGGTAATTAGATAGTGCTTTTTAACATACACCAATACGATATATTTTAAAATTAAGTCTTTTAAAATCTGATCTGAATGCAAATATAATGGATTAAACCTACCTTTATTAGCATGTAAGCAGATACATATTTTGTAGATACTAACCAATGGCTAGTGCAATGTTTAGGCAGACACTAACCAATGTTTAGACAGATACTAACCAATGGCTAGTGCATGCTTCCAGGTGTGCGGGTCAGGAGCGGTCCGAGGCCCTCGGGGGCGTGCGGCAGGCTGTGGCCAGCAGCCCTGGTACGCGCCGGGTCGGGGAATGCAGGCCGGCGGACTAGAATTAGGCACAGACGCTTAGTGGTTGATTAAAGATTATTTTACTTACACCGAAGATGGTCGCGGTGCAGGCAGAAAAACTTGCTTGAGTTGCAGTTACAGACAGAAAAGAAGAGAGGCGGACAAGAGTTACTTCCACACGAACCTCTAGCCCAATCTGGTTGAAGTCTCTAAACACGCGAGCCCGTCGCGTCAACCGAAGAAAACAACTCGAAGCAGAGAGCTCTGGATACACTCACACGAAGTTTGCTAGGCTCCGTGGAACTTGCGCACAGGGAAGGGGTTCGTCGAGGGATCGTTCGGCGACGGGGAGAGGCCAGAGGTTGATCAGACCCCTATAGCCTGCGCTGGGCTCAATAGGCTCCGCAGCGCTTAGAGATCTTCACGAGACATGAAGTCCTCCTCCTCCAGATGGTTGTGGAGTCCTCCCTTGCGGGGTTCTCCTTGGAGTTCTCCAACTTGGGCGGAAACCGCTCAAGCCTCTTATACAGCTAGCAAGCCAATCACTAGCCGCCACGTGGGAATAATTTAGAACTGGCCAATAGTGGGACACAAATTTGCATACGGGTGGCGGGAAGTCCTTTGCACCGTGCATTTCTCTTTGCAACTAAGAAATGCACCCTGCAAAGAAAGCTCCGAGTGGCGGGAAATAATTTAGCAGTGCCGAAGCGCACACAAACAAAATCACAACCTTCTGGTTGTGACACCAGGTAGCAGTAACCAATTACATTTCTTCTAGTGAGAAGATTTTATGGGATATAAATCTAATCAGGCTCATCAGTTACTATAGCAAACCTATTCTAATAGTACTCGCACACTGCATTTCATAATTCCCGGTTTATGGTAGAGAGCTGCCTACCATTGGGGAAGAGCTTAGATTCTGCAATGATGGGTGCTATACAAAATATTGAAGCAGACAAATTACCATATATAGCCTTCAATCATAGCATCTATCATACCATCATAGAAAAATAGGTCTGGAAAGGACCTCCAGAGATCATCTAGTTCAACACCCTATCCAAACTATCCCATACAAATCCTTGTCTAACCTGTTTATAAACTACACAATCAACATTGTCACAACTAAAAGGCAAAAAGAGACTAAAAGCACTGTACCCAGATAGAAGTTGAGCAGGGGATGAGAGCAGTCAGTGTCCTGCTGCTGCAAGGATTGTTAAAATGTACTTTAAAAGATCCCAGGAAGAGGGCAATGCCTCCTCTACAGAGGAAGTCAAAAACTCCTGCCTCTTCCTGAAAACCTCCCATGATGAGAGTTCACAGCTTCCCTAAATAGTCTATTCCATTGCCTTACAGTTGTAACGGTGAAGACATTTTCCTAGATATCCCATCTAAACCTACTTTGCTTCAACTTCAAGCTAGAGCCATTGGTACGTGCCCCTGCTCTCTGCAGCAACAGAGAAAAGGTGTTCTCCTTTTTTTCTTTATGGTAGCCCTTCAGATATTTGAAGATTGCTATCATGACCCCCCCTAATTGTCTTTACTGCAAGCTAAACATGACTATTTCTTTCAACCTCTCCTCATATGGCTTACCTTCCAAACCCTTTATCATTTTTCTTACCTACCTCTGGTCCCTCTCTAATTTCTCCGTGTCCTTTTAAAAATTTGGAGCCCAAAACTGCACACAGAACTCCAGATGAGGCCTACCCAGTGTAAAGTAGAGAGAAAGTATCACAACTCCTGTGCCTGTGCACCTAATGCACTTACTAATGCAACCCAAAACTGCATTAACCTTTTGTGCAGCTACATAATACTGTTGACTCAGACAGAGTCTGTGATCCACCAAGATATCTAGATCCTTCTCCAAGCTGCTTCTGTCCAGCTAATTGTCACTGATCTTATATCTGTATTCCTGATTACTTCTCCCAAGGTATAGCATTTTGCATTTGACAGCATTAAACTTCATCCTGTTGGCTCTAGCCCGGCTTTCTAATTTGTCAAAATCCTTCTGAATTGCATTCCTATCCTCCATTGTGTTCACAATCCTTCCCCGTTTTGTATAGTGTGCAGATTTGCTCAACTGTCTCTTCCAGCATTGAAATCATTAATAAAAACATTGAACAGCACAAGGCCCAGGACAGACCCCCATGGGACTTCACTCAAAACCTCCTGCCATTTCAACATGAATTTTACACACACACACACTCGTGCGCTTAAAGCCTTAGTCTGTCTGTCCATAACGCTTTATTCTGATTAGTTGTCTGAAACAACCAATCAGAGTGCTCCAAAAGCATTCCGGAAAGGAGGTGGCGGCACTCCACTGCCACGACGGTGGGCACATGGGGATGGAGCAGGGCGATGAGGCCAGCACTGCTGGCCTGGCCGCCCCCACTGCCCTGCTTCCTGGAGGCAGCGGCCACGGATCAGACAGCAAGGGGGGACAAGGTGAGCAGTGCTGGCCATGCCCCCCGCCCCATCCCTGCAGGTGGCAGCGACAGAGCAGACGGGGGGAGCAGTGGTGCTGGCTCCCACCCCCGCTCCCTTGAGGCGCCGGCCATGAAGCTGATGGAGCAGGGGGGTGATGCCAGCAGCACTGGCGTTTCCCCCCTCCCCACAAATCATTCTTGATGTGCAATTGGCTAGTCCATTTATAACTACCCTTTGCTTGAAGCTACTGACCCAGTTGTCTGTCTAACATGTAGTAGTTTTGTCTAGTGCATTTTGTCCAATTTGTTTACGAGAAGGTTAAATGGGACTTTGTCAGTAGCCTTGCTGAAGTCCATTTACACTATACCCACTGCATTCCTTTCACCTACCCAGCTAGTTAGTCTGTCAAGGGAGATCAAGTTTGTTTGGATG